CTCGACCGGTCTTCTAACGGTCACAGGTCTTAGACCAGTCTAGTCGTGAGTCTGTCAGCAAAAACTGACATCAAAATTGTAAACAAGAAAAGATTTTATTGACAAGTGGGCTTCGTAGTGCGTTAAGGATAAATAACCTATTGACAAGGTTTGTGCTAAAACCAGTCGGCCTCGCGTGGCATGCATCTTACGTTATTGTGCTAATGCTAAAAGATGCCATGCTGCAAATGCCAGACTTAGTATAGGCAACTAATTAGTACTTAATTAGGAAATACTGCGGTAGTCTGCGACTGAGGCAGCGTAGACGATTAGGCTTTAGTGGTCTAGGTTTAAGAGTTGAGGAAGTATTCGTAATGGAATCCAATTTGATGTAAACAACATAGGATTTTTGGTACATATACCAAAAAAGGAATAAATAAATTGATTAATTTATAATGATTTGTCCTTAAAATGTCATCGGAGTAAGCCCACACCAAACTTTCTAACATATTAAATACAGCGATTAGCAGATCGCAGAAAACGTTCCAAAATATTAATGTTGCTTCGAACTAAATTTAGCCATTGTACATAGCATTAGCCGATAGGTAAATCTAATTCGACATGGGAAATAACTGCGGTGGCTACATTTATAGCCGATGCGTGGCTTTGCTCGCGGGTTTCATGTTGTTTGTACTTCGTGACGAATTTGTGGAATGTTTGTAGATTCAATTGTTTGAAAACACATTGCTGTACGCCACTGTTCACTTTGACAATAACGCAGTCTTCTGCGAAACCAACTATTCTAGATGTAATACCTAGTTGTACCAAGTTTTTGGAATTTAGATATCTAGTTTACTAGTGCGAAATAGGAAAACGGACGTCGCACAGAAAATTAGATAAAACTAGTGCATATTTCGCATTGGTTTCCTTCTAGTTACAATCGATGATACAGGAAAAATCTGGTACAGAATACGGAAAGCCATTATCGTTCGTATTTACCGACTTCATTAATTAAACAGCAATGTCGTCAAATCTATGAATAATACGTACTAGGTATTTACTGTTATCGAAGGAAGAACGTTGATAACGACTTTACGATAAGAGGTGAACAACATAATTTAGACTGAGAATGATTTTCTATGAAAGAGGTACCTGGCGAGAGAAAGTGTATGTAGGTGTCGAACTAGTATCGTGGAGACTGACTCACGTTTAAGGACCCAGACATCGAAAACTCATGTCATGCCATATATGAATAAACATTTAATTAATGACATCGAAGTCAGAAACATTAGCATTGTGGAATATCTTAGATAACAGGTAAACGGAGAAGATCACCTAGAAAAAAAAAAAGAAAATAAATAACTATCAGTCAATATTCTGGGAAAAATTGAGAAGCTACATCTGAATGAGTATGTTTACAAGGAACGTTCTAAATATTTATAAGAAAAAGTGTGTGTCAACAAGTCTAGTTTTACGATAATTCTGATAATACGCAAAAACGCGGTATTGTGCGCAGTTATCACAGGTCAACTGCTTATCTGATTATTTGTGAGTTCAGTTCCCTAATTTCATCTCGCTATCATGATAATTTTTATTGTTTTTCTCGTAGTAAACAAGGCCTTTAAGTCTTCGTCTACAGAAACACGTATAGTAACACCAAGCTGTACATAATTTTAGAAATGATTGTGAAATATTGACTTTTACTTTGGTATCAGTACTCTATATACCGGCCGGATAATCTTTAGAAGACTAGATTTTTCTTGCTCTCAAAAACTTATTTTATCTATCTACCTATGCGTGTTTCAAAAACGGTTGGAATAGACCACAGCGACATTTCTGTAGTAGGTAAATTACAATGAACGTTAAAACAACATTGAAAACAACTTCCACAGTTCATTACCAAGGATTTCGGATGTCATTCCAAGACACATTGGACATAAATAATCACTTTAAGTACCGGGAGTTTGTGTTTAAAGTTCGATCACGTAACCGACCTTTTTACGGAAGTTCTTTAAATCAAGGAAAGGCTATCAGTATAAAGTATTTTAACACATTGGAAATAGCAGTCAAAATTAAACGTAATACTTATTTCCTTGCAAAAATAAATACTTGAAGATAGACAGTACGTCTATGACGATTGCGTTAAGGAAGCGACATTGCCCCACCGACAAAGATTGACATTGAATAAGAACCTTGCGTGTTACTAGGAGGAAACTCGCTTTAACATAGATAGCTCTGACCTGTTTAGGTCGGAAGGATAATAGAACTTTGAACTAAAAGTTGGTGAACAAAAATGTCGTACATGAAAGCTTACGCATGCTGATTTAACTGTACTGTTCGACTGTAAGGAGTGTAGCATGCATTAGTTTGATTAAAGTAAATAAAGAACGTAATAGTCTTGCTACTTACATATGTTACAATTTGTTTGTGAATATTTTCAAAGCTTTAAACAACAGGTAAAACAGTGTTTAACTATTTCCGTGCAGTGAAACACTGTGTTAGCATTATAAATAGGTTCCTAATATGTATTTAATTAAGTAACTAATTGTGATAAGGAACTATGTCTTCTGAAGGAATTAACAACTGTTATTAATTACTTTGTGACAGTAACAAAAATTAAAAGAACGAACAACTAGTCAGAATTGTATTGTTTTTATCCTCATTTTGGCATTATCCTGAGTTTCAGCTTAATTAATATAAGTGTTTATAACTAATTGTAATTTACTTTTTAATACTATTCCACTAAGTCTTTGACAAATGATTAAGTGCAAGTTTTTTGTAATTTAGTGTCTGGTATAGGAATTTCCAAAGCTTTGCAGAGGTTTCACCAAGCATCGATGTGGAATACAATTATAATAATTTGAAGCACTAATGGTAATTCCATATACAAGGCAACAATTTTATGATAAAAAAATAGTTAATCATGCTTATCATATGTGACTGGTTTTTTAAGCATTGATAGATCTAGGTATATTCTGTGTATTAGAAATCTGCAGGACATATCATCATTTTAATACATATTATTTAGTTATATTGTAGGTAATGAATAAACCACAGTAGAGGTCGGAAGAGCTTATTACAATGACATCTAAAACAAATGCCTATACAAATAATGTTATCAGTCACAATCTCTGCGTCACAAGTACCTAGGATTTGCAAAACTGTGAAGTTTCAGGGTCTTTTGGCTATCAGCATTCATTTAACATCAATCAGGAATGGTATACCTAATTCATTATAGTCTACACCTTTTCCGAGGAAGTTAATGCTCATTAAAAGGCAAAACTATTTTATAGTAATTAGTATAAAATGATAATAGATAAACAATTAAATATCATTATAAATTAAACCTGATACCTTTGTAGATTTTGTAATAAATAAAATGAATCAAAATTAAAATTTAATTTCTAAAATTTCAATCACTGAATGTTTTCACATTATTTAACTTTCACAATGTTGATTTAACTAGTATAGACTGGTTGATTATACTAGATGGACTAAGCCAGCAAGTCTTATTTTACCTCCGTTTGGAAGTCATGTGATTTTAGTGTGTACAGGAAAAATAATATAATAACATCAAAATCAGCTGTTTTAGCTTTGTTTATATTCTACAGAGTTTTTATTAAAAAGCAAGTAACTAGACAATTATTTTACTATAATATTTTTTAAAAGGTTCTTTAATAAAGAACACCTAAGTTGCATTCTTATTAGAGACAGGTCCAATTTAACTGTGGTCAATATTTGTGGTTACAAGATAGTAATGGAGTGGAACATTTAATGTGATCAAGCATTAATTGTGAGTGGAATAAATCATAACTGTAAAGTAAATAGCTGCTGGGACAAGGTTGTTAGCAAGGCCTCTAACAAGAAGCCGTAAAAACTAAGGTTATGCGAACAAAAACAAAAAATAACTTACACAATATTGAAAGAACTGCTATAGCAACTACACTATACACTATAAATGATCACTTTTTTCGTACGAAACGTACGGTGTGCACACGAATAACGGAATCAACTGGTCTCCAGTTGATACTGCTATCATCTGTAGATAATGTTTATCATATCAAAGGCAACGTTACCACAAAGAATATCCAACTTGCATACACGTGACGTCACAAAACAACCACCCAATTCGCAAATACACAACACAGACATCCGATAAAGTTGGTAATCGCGGCCTAAATACGATACGACAACTACGCGGCGCGCTACGTCAGCCCAGCCTCGCTACGTACACTAACTAGACTACAGTGTACGGCTGAGCTGAAGCGGTGAAGGTCTACATAGCACAGTCACACAGTCAGCATTACATAGAAAGTTAGTGACGGCCAAACATTGATGCAATATCAAATCAAAAACTTACCAAATAACAAGGATTGACGTTGTAACGAATGTTTATCCCTCAGTCAAACTTATTTTTGTAAATAAATATCACACATTATACTGTTCTAACTTTACACAACACGGTATCACACGATTTACTGTAGAATTTTGTTAATTTTTCGTCTAAACAAAACAGTTTTTGACGAATTGACAATTATCGTTTTTATTCGTGACAAAATCAACATGTCCTCCAACAGGTCATCCGGTCATAATTTTATTTGAATAGTATATAATTGACATAAATATTGTATCAAAAATTACCTTTACAGGTTTTCTGTTTTAATTAGAAGTACGAGATAAATATTTAATAGTTATATTTATAAATATACAAACACAACATTGAAAGTATCTCAATTAACAACTATAGGACGTAAACTATGTTGATAGTTTTTTTTTTAATTTAAATAGTAACTATAGATGTTTACAACACTAGCGCTAATATAACGGTACAAAACGGGTAGGTTTCTTTCTATTTTCCATTGGTGGTTTGATTCCTTTTGCTAACGTCTTAGTAATTAATGTAAATTACCAATTAATGTTCATTTTTTCAAGACGACCGTTAGTCGTCAACTGCATTATTTTACGGTTTTTATCCCTATTTTCACTACACTAGTTTTTTAACTGGTAACACTTTCAGTGCCACAGATTGTAAGAAAGAAAGAAGAAAATAAACTCAACAAAGATTATCTGTCTGTGGTTCTCCAGTTTCTGAAACATGAAATGAAACGGTTTCTTCGATAAATACAAAAATTTTAACTTGAAGTTTATACAATAATAACAGTGTTAAAACATGAATACCTCAAGTTTTGCTGTAGACTCTTCACGAGGAAAAACAGGAGATACAGCTAAGACATTTGTGAGTATACTTTTTGAAATGATATACTACAGAAATAGGTTATGTTTGTTCTTGAATTAGTCTATAAACATAAAAAACTAAGTGGAAAGGTTCCTCTATCATGGTAAAAAATGGACTCAATTCAGTAAATACTCCCTGTTAGTTTTTTTATAACTAAAATATCGCATTCGTATTGTTTACTGTTGTAAATGTATGTGGTGCCGCCTAATCTTTGCTCATGCTCAAAACATTAAATTTCCTGAATATTTCGAATACATTATAAACTGATTAAATCCAAAATATTTGTTCTCTTAAACTGAAACTATTTCATTTACAGATTCTTCCTGACAAATGTTTTCAAAAACATGTTGGCTGTGCGTGGGGTCGAGGAAACAAGTTCACAATATATCCTCGAAGCCAAACTGTGAACAAGACGCCTACAGATGCTGCAGACAGCAAATTGATGAATATAAAACAAGACATTCTGTTGTTCACACCAATCCTTAGGAAACTTGTAAATGAATCTAATGGAACATACCTATCCCTTCAAAAAGCTGCCGAGGCTGCTAAAGTTTCCGACAACCAAGTGGAATTCCTCAAATTATCTCGGCAGTTCCGATCAATCATTAGAGTGTGCTTAGAAAACCTCCAAGAGGCTGCTACAAAGGCTGAAGGCATTGAAAAGAACAATTTACTATCCTACATCACCATCTTCTACTCCATTGAATGTATATGGCATTTGTGTGAGATTCTGTACATAGACAATATACCCGGAGACATAGTGTTGCCATATTTGCTAGAGTGGGTTCGGTTTCATTTCCCTTGTCATGAGCAGACTGCTGCACAGTTGCTGGGGGCTTGTGAAAGAGGATCCGAGGAGCATGAGGACTACTGGGACACCGTTGTGGGTATGGTGGTGCAGGGCAGGGTGGATGTGGCTAGGGCACTGCTCAAACTACACTCAGCTGGAGAGAGCAATGAGTTCAAGTTGGTTGATAACTCTCTGAGGAGTATGCCGGTATACAGTGTAAGTTAGTTTCTTATGATTTATTTACTCTAATTAGAAAAATACTCTGTAGAATTATCAGTTTTAATTTAATCCTTCACGCTATTGCAAATAAATGAGGTAATTTAAAGAATGATCTGAACCTTGATTGCAGGTGTATGGAGGTATATCGACTGGGGAGTTCACAATATCCTGGAAGCACTGGCAAGCTGAGTGCCGGTCCAAACTTGGCAGTAGAGTACTGGCCTCACAACCCAAACTAGAACTTATCATGAAGGTAAATATGAACCATGAGACTGAAACTATTGCCACAATTGCCTTTTTGCAATACAAAAGTATTAGTTCTATTTGATTTGATGTTGAAACAAAATTTAAGTTATAATTATCTGGTTAATAAATCAGGCTAGGTTTTGATTTACCAAGAAAAATTGACAAAACCAAAACTTCAACTGAAGAAACTATGATTTACACTTCTTGCTTCTTTCTACTACTTACCATGTTTACTTCTAGATAATAATAGGCGACTATTCAGCATTCGAATCGATAAGGAGCAAGTATTCATCATGGTTTGACATCCTGGGTGGGTGGGTGATGTTCACGGCGCCGTGGTCGCGCCGCCACGAGCTGGGGGCCGCGGCCGCCGCCTGCGCCGGCATGCAGCCCGCCGGACGCTCACACCTCGACGACATGGTGCGGGCGCTGCTAGAAGGCGATCTGCATCAGGTAACTGCAATACTATGGTAGAGAAGTACAAACTCGGGTGAAATAAAATCAGGTAAATAATAATTTTAATTTTATGTTTACAGGTGATCCATGAAATCCAACAGATATCAGATAATGGCTGGTTTGCGACACATCTCACTGACATACTCTTCCACTGTGGCAAACTCACCATCATGGATAAACACCAGACTAAGTGAGTAACTTCTTTATTTTGTTCATACATTGTGTTACAATGAATTTTTTATTTGAATACAGTAAGAACTCTTAACTAAAAATAAACCATTTGTGTTATTGCAATAATTACGATTTCATCTATTTCCAGCGTAACTTCACGCCTCCGAGACAGTCTCATCTTAGAGTATGGTTGTCTCCTCATGGAACACAAGTCCCTCTGGTCTGTCGGCCTCTCCTACCTCGCCTCCTGTCCCCCAGAAGGGCTGAGAAGAGCAGAGCTCATTCTAGAGAGAATGCCAGTGGATACAGAAGCTAAAGCTATGAAGATCATTGCTGAAGCTAAGAAGTATGAACTCATTGGTGTTGGTAAGTTTAAACTATAAGATCTGTACTAAACTACTCTTTCTTTATCATAAACATTAATTTATATTTAACTTTATGTGCTTGGTATTATCTTCTGAGTACAATGATTTTTCCCATTCGTAAATTAATAAAGTACAAAGCCTCACATTCGTAGCATCTAACAAATATAAATATCACATACATATTGATCTTCACACATTCCAAGTGATATGTTTATCATTCCAGCGCAGTCAGTATGTCGGTGCATGTGCGCGCGGCACCTGTCGGCGGGGCGCGCGGGCGGCGCGCTGTGCTGGGCCATGCGCGGCCGCAGCAGCGCCGCCACGGCCCGCGCCGCGCACGCCGCGCTCGCGCACTACACGCAGCACGCCGTGCTGCCCGCGCAGGACCTCCTGCTCACTGCCGGCTCCGCTATGCTACTGTCTGATGCACTACTATTCTTAGGTAACTAATATAATTATGTATAAAACTACCTGCAAGAACTGAGCCTGTGTCAAAACTATTCTTTTATTTTTGAAATACATATTAAATAGTACTTTTTCATTACAGGTAAATACTGTGATTTCCACAGACTGTACAAAACTAAAGAATTCAAGAAAGCTGCTCAGTTACTAGTCTCTTTGATTACATCGAAAATTGCACCAGAATAGTAAGTATTTGCTCACTATGTCACTAACAATTAATTTATTTATATACATAAATACCTACATAGAAAAAAATGCAACAAAAACATACCGGCCCAATTCAGAACCTCCACTTTTATGAAAAGTCGGTTAAAAAGTATTTTATATGTAAATGTAATAATATTTTATCCGTTTACAGCTTCTGGGAAACACTACTCTTAGATACTCTGCCACTTCTAGAATCTGACGAGCCAGTGTTTACTTCAAATGACACATATGAAATCATGTTGTGCCTAGAGCTTCGTTCCTCCAGCTTGGATGGAGAGAAGGCTGACCTCCTCCGCCTGGCATTAGCTCGCAACCTCGCCAGGACAGCTCTGGCAGAGGGAGATGGCACGGAAGAAAAGGGTCAATGATTGTTCAGGAGAAACATGCCATGGAATTCTGTATTCAGCCACAAAGACAATCAAATAGTGTGGGATGCGATCAAGATGGACTAAATGTTGTGATGGTGTAGTGAACAGCCTGAAGTACTTGATAAATGAAGCAATAACATCTTAATGTGAGTTTCACAATGTCTGAAAGTGCTTTTATTAATATTGTATGGAAAATTATTCCAAACTTATTGTCAATGGTGATATCTGTTGTTATTTTTATGTAATAAAAAGTTAGTTTCTAAGTAAAAACAATAATGTAAGGAGTCCTGTTTACTCTCTAAAAATACCTCTTATAAATTTTTGTGAACATATGTTAAGGAGTAACCAATTTACAGAGTTTTTGAAATGTTTTATGTCAGAGGTTATTGTCTGCCAGAGTAAGCAGGGTAAACGTCACTAACTTAATGAGTCATTCTGGAATAGTCTAGTTAACATTCCCATTTTTATACTGATTCTAATGTAAGGAATATTCAGAAGTAATCACTGCCATATAACGTAACTGTATTAGGAGCTATTCTGTAACTTCATTTTCAGTGTCACTTCCTAGTTATTTTGTTTCTGTATCATTATTTTAAAATGATTGAAAATAGCAAATGGAAGAATAGAATGTTTGCCAATAAGACTAATTGTTGTCAAAATGTCTAACAATTATACTACCACAAAGATGGGTGATGGGTGATAGTCGACAAAATTCAACCGGAAGAAAAAAATACATGATGGTAAAATACCCAACTTCTTTGATAAGGGAAATACTTGGATTAGATTTTACATGTTAAAATGTCAATGGGAGATTACCAATAACTACTAAATTATAACCAAAAATGTTATTTAGTTTCGGTATTTATTTGGCTGTCAGTATATTGTTGAATTGTACATAATCATTACATTAAATTAACTAAGTATTTACAAGTGTGGATCACTTGTCCGTAATCAAATAGAAGAGTAAGCATGTGTGCTAACATTTTTTGTAATAATTCTAATTAATAAAAACTATTTTTACAAATGTGTTCTATATTTATATTACAATGCAAATACAATTCTTAGGGTGGTGTCTAGGCAACTGGTTGTGACGCGAGGTGTATCTGGTTTCATGTTGTCACGGAAGAAAACTTTGTATGATCCTCAAATTGCTGCTGTCTAGGTATGATGTGTATGTGAACTTCAGAGTCAAATCCATCCATGCCATCTGATTGATAATACAGGAGTCATTACAGTTATAGCCATTATAGCGTATTTTATTCTAGGTCATCTGGTTGTTAATATGAATTTTTCCAATGAAGATTTACTTATACAACCTGCCCAGGCTTCGCACGGGTGCAATATGCATGTAATATACTTATAAATCTTACCTAAGAATCACTCTACCTATTAAAAAAACCGCATCAAAGTCCGCTGCGCAGTCTTAAAGATATAAGCATACATAGGGACAGACGGACGGCGGATAGCGACTTTGTTTTATACTACCTATGTAGTGATGACTTTATCAAACATTTTAGTATTCTTTTGTTTATTGAAACAATACTGTAAATATTATGAAGACCAAATACTCAAAGACCACTCAATTTTAACTTGTGCAAGTATAGTTCTCACTACAATTACTTTGTAAAATGATACAGATGGCACAATATTTAGTACAACTTAACTCGTCGAGTACCGGTTTTGTAGACACAATTATAGAACAATAGGTTGCGGTCACCGGTGACCGCTTGGTGTTTGACAGTTTAATGTGTATTTAGGTCTTAGTGTGGGTGTTGTTATCACTAATAACTAAACAAAAGTAGGTAGCAAATGATTAACTAATTTTTGATAAGTTCAAAGAAATGCAACATTGTAATGAAAGAGATTCTTATTGAACTATTATGTTGTAACAATTTGTTTCCTAGAAACATTTGCTTGATATGGCTATTACAGGCAGATCTCTTTATGAACTAGGGTGCCATGAGTTCGGAAGCTGTAGAATAAAGTGTTTCATGCTCCCTAGTCAGTAAGAGTCTGTCAGTGTAGTCCTTAGTCCCTTTCGTCCACTTCCAAGGGCATCCTTGGTTTATTTATCAACTTTAGGGTGAAAAAAAAAGATCTCTTATGAACAACAATTCTTTTATTATTTATATGACATTAATTGTAATGGTGGTCTATTTGAGATTCTAACTCTAATTTTAATTTCTAGATCACATAATTATAATATCTAATAAGGTGGCTTTGTCAACTTATGTTAGTAAAGAATACCCGCTAATACTTAAAATCTAACTACTTGCTAAATTGTTACATGAAACAAATCTCAAGATAAATTCCAACAGTAATTAAATGCCAGAAGCTATGTTTTACATAGTCATAGGAATTGTCATACTCTAACAATTATTACCATACACATAATAACAATCACATGATATTATAACACAAATAGCTTCATAGCCTTAAAAAGTGATATCATAAAAACATATAAGTTGTTAGCTTATTAATAAAATAAAAAAAATAATAAGAAAAGGCAAAATATTAAAAGTCAATGTTTATAACATTGATTACATTATGTTGATTTTCTACCAGCATAAAACGTCTTCATGCAATCTATTTCCTCGATTTTATAATTGAGAATTTTATCGAAGCCCTCATAGTGGAATTTACCAAAGAACTTCTTGCCTTGCAGCATGTATGGGAACCATATTCTGTCGTCAGGCCACATGTCGTCGAAGGGAACTTCGGTATTCTTGAACCATTTGGGTAGCATTTCTTCAGTTTCCTTAGGATTTCCTTCAAACACATTCGTGGAAAATACTCGCACATCCATTAACGTAGGCTGACCTTCAAAAGTGAACTCTAGATGTGCGATATTCTTCAAGTCACTGGGTCTAACGCTCACGCAACATTCCTCATTTAATTCTCTCGCCGCTGCTTCCAGTATAGTTTCATTAGGCTCCACTTTCCCGCCGAAACCATTCCATTTCTTTACACCGAAACCTCGCTTCTTTAGACCCAGTAATATTTGATCTTCGTTGTTTATGAACACCAGAGTGAATAGCTTCTTCACTAACATCTTTATGAATATTATTTAGATATGTTTTATGTTATAAATTCGATTTAATTGTATGTTTTTTACAAGATACTAGGCACCAAATAATCAGCAACCGGCAACTCGTGTGTTTACAACTTGACTGACAATAGTGACAATTGACAAATGACAATGACAGTTGCAGCTGATTGTTGTTGACGTTTCTGCAGATACAAAACGTTTTGTTAATCGAATGTTAGTGATAATTATTTTTCTCACAAATTATTTTCTGTTAGTATAGAATTAATTTTACTTCAACAAAATTGTATTTAATTTAAAGTAAGTAATTACAAACATGAAACTAACAAATATGTTAAGTTTCCTAAACTTATCGACCTTTGAAGACGTGTGGTTATTGCTTTAAAGTTCAGTGAGCTTTTATTAATTGAAATAAATCATGTGGTTTAGCAGGTCGGATCTCAAAGGATTTTACACAGCAACGATACACCAAAGTAATGGGTAAGTAAAGTTTATAAACTAAACTTATTAGTTAAAGTTAGTGGCCTATAAATGGCAGCTAATCTTATAGCGTTACTTTACTACAACAAACTTAGTTTAAATTTAAGTTTATTCGTGATTTAAATTATTCGATAGATGAAAGATTAGGTTCTCCTAAAATGTTTCTTTATTTAACTTGTACCTGCTGTGGTTGAACAGTTTTACTACATTTAAAATATTTATTTACTAAATAAACATAGATAAATGATTATTATCATTTATGAAAAGAATCAAGGAGATACCTAACTAATAGGTAATGCACAAATAATACGTCAATTAAACAGCAGACGTAAATATTTGCTTCAGATGTGAATGAACACAGCAGCGCAGCAACCGAGATCTTTGTACCTTTATCAATATTAATAAATTGCTCGCCAGTGTAGCTGCACTGAATCGTAGCTACGAGACTTAGGTACCTACTTACCTAACTGTACCTACCTAGTCAGGTGCCTATTAACGCTACTCGACACTGATTGTCGATGATTATGTAAATGTTTATTATAATGAATATTTGTTTTTATTTCGCTCTAAAATTATCTAGACACTGAACGGATATAGACTTTAATTTAATATTCAGTTTATTAAAGAAAAAGGCTTAGTTAATCCGTTTTAAATATTTTGTTTTCAACCAATTATCTTGTTGGTTGAGTCAAGCAGGTTTTGGTTTGTTTCCCGGTTTAGGCAGTGGATACTGCTGGATTTTTTTCGATCGTTTTAAGAAACGAATACCTACTAGACTTGTACTTATACCTACTAGACTGTGTGTATGTAATAATAATAATAATTTAATAATAATTTATTTTATTCATAAGCACTTAATACAATATATCAACAATAGTTTTGGCTATAATATTTTTACAGGTATGTGATTTTAGCTTCTGTAGTCGAACTAGGCATTGCCTGTATTTCGACTATCAGTGCCCAACCCTCAAACGTACAGATAATTTCAGCCTTTCTAGTGTCAGTTATATAATATTAATTTTTGTTTAAAGAAAAATTACAAGAATAAGATAAAAAGTAATAACATACTAATTAATACAGAAAATTACTACAAGAAAAATAATAATAATAAAAAAGGAACTTTCTCAACGCAGATATTAACTATTTTGGCCATTATGTGTATGTGTGGGTGTGCTGTGTGTGTGTGTGTGTGTGTGTGTGTGTGTGTGTGTTTGTGGGTGTGTGCGCGCGTTTGTTTATTTCACATTAATTTGTTCAGTAGTTGTTCAGTTTCCTCGTAATTTAGTTTTTGTAGATATTTTTTTAGTTTTATTTTACATTCTACTTTGGTTAGTGGGTAGATGTTTAGGATTTTATTTAATTTGTTGTATAAGTATGGTCCGATGTGGTCAGCAAATCTTGAAATAAAATTATTTTTACTGTGTTGTGGAGTGCTGCATACCTTGTATCGTCGACGTTTAGTCAACTGTTGGGAATTGTAGACCAGTTTTCCGTGTTGTAGAAGAGTAGTATTCAGTATAAATAACTGCCGAACAGTAAGGACATCGCAGATTTGATATAAAGAAGTCGTTGGGTGGTAAATTGGTTTTGCAATAGCAACCTTCAGCACAGCACGTTGAGTAACTTCAAGGGATTTCATTGTGGTTTTGTATGTTCCTCCCCAAGCCGTGATACAATAAGTTAAAACTGACTGACATAACGCGAGATATATTTGCTTTAACAATTTAGCTTCAGTAATGTGTCTCAGTCTTTTGAAGATATACATGAGTTTTCGTATTCTAAGGCACACATGTTTGATGTGTTCTTTGAAGCTAAGCCTAGAGTCTATGACAATGCCAAGATATTTTATCGATTCAGTTCGTTCTAGTGATGGGCACTGACAGATATCCTCAGAGGAACACGCATGCAGTATGATATTATGGTTATCGGGGGGTGCATAGTTTTGTCTAATACTGAAGCACATATATTTGGTTTTATCTATATTTAGGGTCAGTATATTGTCTTGAAGCCATTCCTTCACGGAGTTTAGGCCACGCTGGGCAGCGCCAAAGACTCCCTCCCATGTATCGTCGGCAAAAACTAGAGCTGTGTCGTCGGCAAAGGAAATTATTTCTCCTTTGGCAAGCTTTAGTTTTGTTAGTTCGTCTAAATACATGAGGAACAATGTTGGACCCAGAACGCTACCTTGCGGCACTCCATGTGTAATTGGGAGGTATGTACTTCTATACTGACCCACTCGCACACATTGTGATCGCCCAGAAAGGTAACTTTTTAAAAGTTCGAGTTGCATACCTCTTATTCCGAATTTTTCCAATTTGTCTAGTAAGATGGAAACAGAGATCGTATCAAATGCCTTGGCAAGGTCTAGGTAAATTGCCAGGCACTTTTTCCCATTAGACATATTTGAGCTTGTAAAACTGATAAGCTTGTTTACTGCTTGCTCTGTGCTTTTCCCTTGACGAAAGCCGAATTGATTGGCTGATAATAGGTCTTTTGTCTCAAGGTATTGCACTAGCCTCATATTTATAATTTTTTCTAAAATTTTTGAGATTGCCGGTAGTATCGAAATAGGTCTGTAGTTATTGATACGACCTCTATCTCCACTCTTAAATATAGGACAAATTTCAGATATTTTCAGAGAATCCGGGAATACTCCAGATTTAAAGCAGTCATTAAATATTTTAGTTAAGTGTGGTGACAGTAATTTTTTGTATTGTTTTAGAAGTCTGCAACTAATTTTATCGCCTCCTATGGCGCAGTCTGATCTTAGGCCCATTATAATATTATTCACTTCACTTTCATCTGTTTCAAGGAAAGCAAATGAATTTGTAAGGTGGATGTTATTTAGGCTGTTTGGTGTATTTTGTATGGAAGTCCTTGTGGTCAGGTTTTTGTTATAGATTTTTGCAGCTAGCGAGTTTCCAACGTTTATAAAGTAACTGTTTACCTCACAAAGTGACTGTTCTGGTGTAGTAGCGAACGTAAGAAGCTCATTTGAATGTTGTTTTGATTTAGTTGTATTTGTAATTTCTTTAATAACTTTCCATAACTGTTTGTTGTTTTTCTGAGCAGTTTTCAGTTGTTGTTGCTCGTAACTGTCCCTTACCCTTTTAAGTATGTTGTTGCAGAAGTTCCTATAGCGTTTGTATGTTATTGCAAGTATTTTATTTTCCGGAGACGTGTTTACTTTTTTGTGGAGTTTGTCCCTGTTTTGCATACAGCGTAACAAGCCCGGAGTAATCCACGGTTTTATAATTTTTTTCCGCCGTGAAAGGGTGATTGTTTGAGAATTTTTCTCTATTATGTTCTGCAAATTTGTGATTAAATAATTGAGACAGAAATTCGGGTCCTCTGATTGATAAATTACACTACAATCAAGTGCCAAAACATCCTGCTCGATACCTTTGTAATTTGTTTTATTTGTCATAGTAGTAGCGTACTGTCGCGATATTTTTGAGTTCATGCATAATAATACTGGGTAGTGATCCGTTAGCGTTGTTTGTGGCACAATAGTGGTGGCGTTATATTTTGTTTTTAGAAGAACATGATCTAAGCAAGTTCCACTACTACTTCTTGTAATTAAACTATGCGCAGGCAGAAGGCCGTGCGATGCTGCTAGTGTAAGGTAACGTTCACCATTCGCATCAATAGAATTTGAGCTTATTGTAATATTTAAGTCACCCACAACTATGGCATTTGTATAAGATGTAATCTCTTGCAATGTATCATCTAGAAAAGCAAGAAAAGGATCTACATTTTTATATGATGGTGATCTATACATTGCAAGTATGGCTAAGTGCCTGTCCATAGTAGCAACGAGGCAATTGCATTCGTTTGGGTTTGGTTCGTGTATTTTTATGTTTAGGTAGTCCTTGTAGTAGATAACTACTCCATCATTTTGTTTATGATGAGCTTTCGTTGCTGCGTGGTTATATCCAGGTAGTTTTGGTATATCAGCATTGTTAGTGAGCCAACATTCTGTCAATACAATAATGTGGCAGTCTAGCTTTAATCTCGCTAGTAATGTTTCAAAACCTGTTAAATTGCGGTTTATGCTGCGTATGTTTTGGGTAATAATTAGCAGGTTTTCTGGTTTCGACTGTATATATTTATGGCAGTCTTCAAGGGCTGCAGTGTATGCGTGGGAAACAGCTATCTGGTCTATATCTTCTGTAAGTTTTAATATGTCACCAAAGAGTAGATATTTGGGTAGTGTTTTCCTGAATATTTTTCTTTTTTGAGATGTGTGTATTGTATAGCTATTAAAATAGTTTTTACGAAATATGTGTAGTATTTGTTTTGGTTGCGAGGAATACGTGTGGCAGTGTAGTCATGTTGTATGTGTAGGTAATACTGTGGTTGGGAATAGTTATAGTTTGAGTGTTCTTTTTGTAAGTGTGTGGTTTTGTATATAGTGTGTATAAAAATCTGATTTGCGGGAGGAATATAAATAAAGTTTAAGTACAGTAAAACTATATGTCGTGTTGTGTTGTGTTGTGTTATGTAGTCTTCATGGGATTTGTAAGTATGTGTTGTGAACATAACGTTATTGGTATAGTATGTCATAGAGCTTGGCCAAAAAGCATGCACAACTAAAGTAATATAAAAGGCATCCAACAACATTTTCAAACTATATAAAGCAAACATAAATACATG